TCTTTCCCTCTCCCAATGGTCTGAGGCCGCCCAGCTGGAGCAGCCACCTGACCCAAACCAGTCCCTCCAGCTGAGCCGTTATTATTAACAAACCTGCCGTTCATCTGCACGCAAGGTTGAGGGGAATCTTAATTCTCTGAGACAGCAGAACGAACGTTCAACAAAACCAAAAGCAAGTGTTTTCCTTGTGAAGGTTGAGCAGCTGCAGGAGGAGATCTGCCAGTATCAGAAGAGCGAGAAGCAGGGACCGCCACGGGCTGCGCCGGCCGAGACCGAAGCAGTCGCAGCGTGCTCCCTGCAGGTATCTGCAACGGCTTTTGTTTGCTGTTCTGGGAGGCAGGTGGAGCAGAGGGGCCCCACTCTGCATTTCAGCCCCGAGCCCTCAATGAAGACGCACCCTTGTCGTGCAGAAACGCTTGTTCTGCTTTCTGTCTGTCCGTGCGTCCTGCGCGGGTGTGAGGCAGGATTGATGCTGGGCGTGACAGATACTGTAATGTGTGGAGCGTGTCTGGTGACGTAAGCTAATACCCACCAGTGCCCTCGTAGTGGTATGGATTTAGGGTTTTTTTTCTCCTATGGCTGGTGGATTCTCTAATGCAGACAGAGTAGCAGATGCAGCTCATGTTTTCTCGTTGTCCTGTTTGTTCACCAGAGACTCGGGTAGCTTTGGAATCACGTTGTGCTAAGAGTTCAGTCCTAATTATGTGCCAACTTCTCCTTTTCTCCTGAGACACAGGGCACAAAGGATGAAGGGAGGGCTGAAGGGGACCCTGTTTCAGGCAGAGCTGTCTCAGATCAAGAAGAAAGATACCAGGGTAGTGAAACGCTTCATAAAAGGTGAGCAATCTCGAAATCCTCCTTCACCTGTTGTATTTTCAAGCTGGTTATCTGGTGCTCTTGCTGGTCGTCTTCTCTGCTTCTCTTGCAGAGGGCATTTAAGTATTGGGCTCTTTGAGATACTCTTGGGCACCTCTTTGTTCCTCCTCAGAGAGTTTGGAGGCAGTGTAGTCCTGAGTGGCTCTGTAGCCCTTGGTATCCAGAACGCGGGCTGTTTTCTGGCACTTTCTCCACTTTGTTGCTTTCCTTAAAAAATAAGCTTGGGCTTTCGTGGCTGTCTGCAGACAGCAGTGTTCTTTTCAAGATTGTTTTGCTGCTGGAAGCTTCTCTAGATTTGGGTCCTGTCCAGGGAGTGTACCAAAACACTTGACTTTCAGATTTATAAATATGTAAACTGGGATTTTTAAGGGGAGTCGAAGCTTCATTCTCCTGTGGCCTGCTCAGGAAGCTGTTGCTGCTAAGCGTCTTCTAGCAGGTTGAAGAAGGAAAGGGGATCCAGTCCCATCCCTCTCACTCTTTTTCCCTCCAAATGCCCAAGCCTGTTCCCCCACCCCAAGCAGTCGAATTTGCCGTTGCCTGTCTGCTCTCAGCGTCCTTGTGCCCTGACCAGTTCTCTCCCCGGACCCTCATCGTTACTTGTGCAGAGCTCGTCACCAATAATTCCCATGCACCATCACCTAAATAAGAGCAGGCACAGGTCATGCCGGATGGGAGACTCGAAATTTGCAGGACAGTAATGTTCCATAGTGGAAGACACGTTGGCTCTTCCTCGCCAGTGCCAAACAGTTGGGATGTGTGTCAGCGTGTTTACGTAGCAGTTCTGGCCTTGGCTGATGCCCGTCTTTTGTGCGTAGGTGCCGAGAGGCGATGGAAAACGTGGAAGGCAGGAATTCACAGCTCCTTCACAAGCTGCAAAAACTGGAGCAGGAACACGAGGATTTGGCTGAGCGCAATGAAGAGCTGGAATCAATTCTGGGAGAGACGCAGAACCAAACCAAGCAGGAGAAGGAACAGTTAGAGAGTGAAGCGGAGGGACTTCACTGGAAAGTAAGTAAGGGATGGAAGAAATACCATGTGGGTTTTGTTGAAGTCTAGCTGCTTTCCTGTCTGCATATTGATTGGTAAAATGAAATAATGTTTGACCTGAACCTGCATGCTGCTTTGTTTAGTTTGACAAGAAATGCAGCTAGCAAAATCTGCTGGTTTCTGAAAAGAGGGGAAAAGAAGGAAAAAAACCCAGCCGTGAGTAAATGACACCTACTTAGTGGTGCAGATTCCTTCAGTGTCACAGCAGCATTGTCTTTTCCAGCTCCTGTCCCTACTCCCTGGTGCTCGGGCAAGCACGGTTAATGAGCTGACGTACCTCCCGCATCCGCAGGAGTGCGATCAGGCAACGCTCCCTTCCCGTACAGCCGTTCTCTACGTGTGGACTGTGCACTCTGCCGTTTCTTGGCTAGGCTGAAGCAAAGCCTTTTTGTTTCCAGTTCAAGTTGCATCTTTCTGCTCTGGAGCTATTGCTTCTGAACCTGTTGTAGCTTAGAAGCTACAACATGAATGGATCGAGAGCAGCCCTGAGGAGAAGGACTTGGGAGTACTGGTGGACGAGAAGCTCAATATGAGCCGGCAATGTGCTCTTGCGGCCCAGAAGGCCAACCGCGTCCTGGGCTGCATCAAGAGGAGCGTGGCCAGCAGGTCGAGGGAGGTGATTCTCCCCCTCTACTCTGCCCTCGTGAGACCTCACCTGGAGTACTGCGTCCAGTTCTGAAGCCCCCAACATAAGAAGGACATGGACCAGTTGGAGAGGGTCCAGAGGAGGGCCACGAAGATGATCAGAGGGCTGGAGCACCTTTCCTATGAGGACAGGCTGAAAGAGTTGGGGCTGTTCAGCCTGGAGAAGAGGAGGCTCCGGGGTGACCTTATAGCAGTCTTCCAGTACCTCAAGGGGGCCTACAGAAAAGATGGGGAGAGGCTGTTGAGGAGGGCCTGTTGCGATAGGACAAGGGGTAATGGTTTTAAAATAGAGGGAGGTAGATTCAGGTTGGATATTAGGAAAAAATTTTTTACCATGAGAGTGGTAGAACACTGGAACAGGTTGCCCAGAGAGGTGGTGGATGCTCCATCCCTGGAGACGTTCAAGGCCAGGTTGGACGAGGCCCTGAGCAACCTGATCTAGTTGGAGATATCCCTGTTCCTTGCAGGGGGGGTGGACTAGATGACTTTTGAAGGTCCCTTCCAGCCCTAACCATTCTATGATTCTATGATTCTTTCCCCTGAGAGGCTGTCGCAGACAGCATCAGTGCTCCTGCCAGACTTCAGCATTGGTGTCCTGCAGGAACTGCTTTTCCATGTTGGATCGTTACTTCTGCTGCCTGTAGTTCATGCTGAGAGCAAGTTCCAGGAAGCCCCAAGTCCTCTTGAGGCTCAGTGTCCCTTAACCTGGCACCCATGATAGAAGTCCAGAGTTTGACTTGAATCCTTAACCCATCTTGAGACCTGTCGATCAGATGAAAATAGTCAGCGCGAGACACCGATGCTCCTTGATTCCAGGAGAAGTCGCCAGTTAAGCGTGCTGGTGACAAAAGATGGCACTTCTGGCTTTTTCCCAAACACTGCATCTTGGAGACCTGTAAGCCTGAGTGTCAAACACCAAGGCACTTCTGGGTGTGGGTGGCCAGGATCTGCACTGCCTGGGGACATCCCTGCTGAAAATAACAAATGTGAGGGGACAGTGAGTTTCTCTCATCACCTGTTATCTCTTGGTGCAGCATCTGCTGTTGATTGGAAGGCATGGCTGGACATGTATTTTTGAAGAGCTATGATAAGCTGATCCATCTGAAGAAGCTCTGCTCAATCTTGTCTCTTCCTAACCCATATCCTATTTGATTTTGGGCACCCTCATCCCAGGGAAATCTGGATCTTTTGCTGTTAATGGGAGAAGTCCACTCAGATCATCCTTTGACTTTAGGAGGTTGATAGAAAGTCTTTGCTTCTTCCAGTCATTTGCACGTGACAGTCAGAGAACCTCTGGGAAACTGCAGAGGTGAAGCACCATGTTGATTTTCTGGTGTAGCAGAACCATGGCAACGTTAGAGGCCTCCTTGCCACACCTGCAGAGCCACCTCCATCCACATTCTGAGCAAAGATGAAGTTATTGCTGAAGCTTCTCAGCCTGATCCTGCCTTTGTCAGAGTGGTCTTTAGCCTCGACTTACTGGATGGACTCTCCATCCCTCTGGAGGTAGCTCTGTGAGGAGCTCCTGTGCTTGCTGGCTGGTTTGCCACTGTTTGCCCCCAGGATAAACACCATTGGCAGCGTTTGTGCAGCATCCCTGCCAGGGTATGTGACCCCTTACAGTGGGACAGATGAAGAATTTATAGCCAGAGGGAACAGAGGAAGCCAGAAGTTGGTCTTGCTAGATGGGTAGGTGGGATTTTCACCAAAAAGTCTGGCTGAGGAGGTCTTTTCCTTTGGATAAAGCCCTGCTGCCTGGCCAAAAGCTCTTCCTTCCTTGGGCTGAGTTGCCCTCTCCCCTCTGTGGCTGACATGCTCTCTGCAGTGATCACGGTCCTGGATTGCCAGGCAGCAGGACCAGTCCGTCGAGGACCTTGGGTTCCTGAGGTGAGAAGGAAGGGCGCAGACCGGTTTTCAATCAGGAGTGAGCGGCGCTCAGACGTGTCCGTACACTGGCTGTTGCGATAAACCATCATGCAGGAGATGGGACGGGTGTGAAGGCGTATCCCGTGTGAACGCCAAAGCAGCCACACATCTCCCAGACAAATCGTTCGAGGGAAGAGAAGGTGAATCACTTGTCAGGAGCCTCTGGCTGGGAGGGAAAAGTCTCTAAATACAGTGAGACAGACCGAAGGCGTGTTCCAGTTCCTTGGTGAAGGATGCCAGCAGACGTCATGTTCCTAAGTGTGTAGCTGAGGAGCCAAGGGCAGGCGCTCTGATGGGAACGGGGAAAGGTCTACCCCCCACGACCGCGCTTTTGTTTCCATCAGGGTTTGCTCAGCACATGCCAAAACGTTTCCCACTTTCTCACCGAAGCGGAATAAACACAGCCCTTCGCAAATCAAACACGGCGCGTTTCCAGTTCGGAGAAATCCCTCCTTCGCTCAGCGCGTTGTTAGACGGGTCCCTGGGAACGCTGCGTTGGGGGACGCAGGGTGAACACCGCGTCGCCAAGGAGATGCAAGGCATTTTGGCTGGCATGAGCTTGGCAGCTGCCGTAGCTGAGAGAGAGACAGAAATGAGGCATGCAGGGCAGCGGAGGAGAGACGGGCAGATTGTGGGATGGAAGAGGAGGTGGGTTAACCCTTGGTTAGATCCAGCATCCACTGAGGTGGAGGGCTGCAGAGCTGCACCCTTCATCTCTGAGGGGCTTTTGGGTGCCTTGGAGGTAACGAGGGAAGGACTGCACGAAGGCAGGTGCACGGGAGCCTGGAGAAAGCCGCGCTGCTGGGTGCTTGCCAGGCTGCCCCATGTGAGAAGGACTTGGAAGTCTTTTCTGTTTTGGCACACCTACAAAAATCTGGGCTGATTAGGTCACTGACTCGGAACGAGGACACCAGGATACAATGTAAGTATTGTTCTGCTGTTGGCACTGGGCTTTGAGCGCAACTTAAATGCTTAAAAGTTAGCAGCTCGGAGGAAAGATAAGCAAAATGATGGAAACACATAGATGGGTATCAACTTCATGACCAAAGGTTGGCTGGGGGATGGGAAGAGGAGGTTTATTGTGCTTTTGAGATCCCTTCCACAGCTCCAACGTCCTGTTGAACCTCAAACTATCATCTCATCATGCAAGAGGAGGGGGATTTATTGCCCTCTAGCTCTTCTGTAAGAGGCCGGGCTGTTTCACCCCACCAATACCCTCTTAACACCTAGGTTGGATAACATCATCTGTCTTTAAAATCAGCAACACAGCAGCTTTCCTCTGTTAGAGATCGTTCTCTGCTGGGAGCTTCCACAGAGGCATCTTGTGCTTGAAGGCTGCCAGTGAAAGCAGAGCTCCTGGGCTTTGACATGCTGCCTTGCGACCACTTGAAACAGGCTGCGATTGGCAGAGACTTGGCACTTCTTTGGCTTTGGCTTCCCATTGGAAAGGAATGAAGAATGACCTCTGAACAAGTGGAAAGAAAGGAGGGTGAGAAAGGCATGAGGCATCGTATACGCTTCACCATACACTCATGTGTTTGAGTGGAGTGAGGGACGTTCCTTGGATGAGTACGGCGTGTGCCGTGTACAGATGAAGCTGGATCAGCTGGACTCCATCTCCTTCCAGTGTCCCCATTCGCTCTGGTTCAGTGGAGGCCCAGCTTGGGCGGTGGGGAGGCCAGCTTGGTGGTTCAGAAAGAAGAAAACCTGCACAAACTTTCTTCGGAGCGTCCGGAGCTGAAAGGAAAGGCTGCTGAATGCCGTGCTGGCTGGCAGCGGAGCAGAGTGGCTGTGAGTGCCAAGAGTCGAATTTTGCAGAAGGATCTGTGGGGACCGTAGTGGGGAGGAGAAGCTGGCCTGCTCCTGCCTCTTTTTTAAGCCCTTTAAAGCCACAGGACTAATAATTATTCCCATGAGATTCCCCCACAAGGGTAGATGCCTCGGGGGGGCATGGTGCAAATGCAGAGTGAGCACTTGTCTGGACAAACTCTTGGCTGCCAGGAGAAGAGCAGAGGTCAGCGTTTTGCTGGCTCAAGTCGAGAGCCCTCGGAGCCTTGTGCGGAGGAGTTACAACATCCCTTGAGTGGTGGAGGGACCAGGACAAGTCCTGGTGGACCAGGTCGAACATCTGCTTGGATGAGATGAGCTGCAGTGGAGTGGGCACTGCAACAACATGGGCAAGGAGGATGGCCCACAGTATAAATCAGGGTCTCACGGTGGCCTCTGTGTTGGGAGAGCAGCACGTGGAAGGCCCACAAGCTGTGGAGGCCTTGAATTTTCACCATGTGCCTGGGTCGTTTCTCTCCTTTTGTAGAGCAGGGTTCTTTCATTTTCTGACTTGGCCTTGGACGACTCCTTCGCTCTTTAAAGCACCAGGATGAAAGATGTGAGCTGGAGCCAGCCCACGCTGGCGGCTGTCCACGTCCCCTCCTACGCCTTGCTTCCAAACATGGGGCTTATTCTGTAATAGTGGCACAAGGAGCAGTTTAGTACCAGTTGTGCGTTTAGTACTGGTTGTGAGTACTGCTTTGGTTTTAACTTGTCTTTTTTCCATGGTAAGATCACAAGTTTAGAGACAGAGTTACTTGAGGTGCAGAAGAAGAAAACTGAGATGAGTGGGGAAGAGGAGGCATCATCTGGAGCACAAGAGATGCAAGAGGTAAGAGGTTTTCCTTGGGAAAGAAATGGTTTTGTTTAGAAATGTATTAAATGAGCATCTCCTGTGGATGCTCTTTGTCACTCTCTTGTGAGTATTTGTAGCCCATCAGCTTATGCAAGACAGATGTCTTTGGAGGAAGCAGCCAACGTGCCAATAGTATCTCCCTGAGAACTCATCTCTCTCACGAGATTGTCTCACCTTCAGCACTGCAAGCTGAGGAGCTTGTTTGCTCCCCAGTTGTTTGCCAGCCAGTTGGATCTGCCAGGTGTCGAAGCCAGACAGAGCTTATTACACGTGGCAGATGACCTTCTCAAGGTATCTTGGGTCAGGTGGAAGCTCGAGGCCTTCAGAGATATCCAGCCAGCCCTTCGGCCAGGTGTGGGAATCCTGCTGGCAACTTTTAAGAACCATTTTGCCCAGCCTTGTTTTTTCTAGAAGACATATTTTCTGCAATTTGTTTCTCTTTTTCTAGAATAAATGATGTCATGGAAGTGACTCTTAATCTTGCTCATTCCAGATGCTGGAAAGCTGTCAGGAAACGATAGAAAAATTGGGGAGTCAGCTGGGGGAGCGGAGAGAACGGAGAAAGCAACTTGCATCTGAGCTTGAACTGTTACGAGAAGATCTGAAGGCTGAGAAGAAGGTGTTGGGAAGCCAGGTATGTAGAGCTCCTGCAGTGGGACTCCTTGCAGGAGGCGGTTGCCTTTGGATGACTCCATAAAACATCCCCAGTTGCCCCACAAGCACATTGCTTGGCTTCTCTTGACACGTTTCGCTAGTCCAGCCAGTTTCAAACCTTCTTTGGTAGATGGTTTTAAATCCATCTGCTTTAATGGAACTGTCTCTAGCTCTGTAATTTATTTTTCCTTTCAGTGAATCTAATAACAAAACAGTAACTCAAAGTTTTTAGCCAAAGCCCCCTTCTCTAGAGGGAACTTTTTGGACTTAGGTATTTATTGCAGAATTATTTGTGATCCTAAGGCTCATGATGGTGAGCTTTTGTCTCTCCATGTCACAACACGGCAGGGTATTGGTGGATTTGAGCCAAGACCTCCCTGCAGAGCAACATCGTGGTTACCCGTTAGCCACGACTGCTTTTCTGAGGTCGATCAACTGGCTAATTCTGAATCTGTTTAACATGGGTCCCCTTTAATACCAACAGTATTCTTTCTTAACCAGAATATGGCATGAGAAGAAGTCAGAACACCTAAGAGTCACAGAAGTCTACGTGAACAACTCACTGGGGTCCTGGCGCTGCTGTTTGTTACGTGCCCTAAGGACCTCAGCACGCCCTACGTGAAGTAATTTAACTGCTAGGTAGACTTCTGGCAGGTTTGTCTCTGCTGGGAACACTGCTGGTGCTCTTGTCTTCCAGCCAGGCCATAGAGGACAGAGAGTGTGTGAAGCCAGAAAAATTGCACAAGGGTTGGTGCAGGTGTAGGCAAGATAAGGGCTGAAAATTTAGGAGAGCTGCGGATCTGTGGCCTGGATCAGGTAGACAAGGGGGACCTGAGGGAAACTGGCAAAGCGGGGGGTTTGCATCTGTTACAAACCCCATTTTTTAGCACTCTAAGAGGCCTTAAACCATCTCACTTCCTTGAACATAAGTAAAAAACGACAACAGTCCTGAAGTGTTGGCGAAACTGTGCATCCACAAGAGTCTTGCTGGAGGAACAGTGGCCTCTAGAGGACAGGACTTTGGTAGTGCTGTTAGGCAACAAATTCACATGGAGGAAGCTTGGGATGCAGGCCAAGCCTTGCCAACGAGCAGTTTGGGGAGGGCCAAGTCAATCTATGAATACGCACATGAAAAGGAATTGTCTGATTTTGGGGGATGATGGGGAAAATGGGAAGAGTCACTCTTTAATCTTTGCATCCCAGTAGTTCAATCTACTCATGGTCCAGGGACTTCTTAATCAAAATCATACAGCTCTGTAAGTCTGGCTGTAGTTCAGCCATCAGTTGCCTGGTGATTTTGCCTAAAGAGAGGACTGTTCTTCCATCAAAGGGATCACGAGAGGAAACCTGGGGGCCTGTGTTAGACTGTAACGATCTTTAAAACAGGATTTTGCACGTGTTTGGTGGGATTCCTGACGTCACAGATGGGTTCATTCTCTTTTGCTAGAGTAGCTGTATTGGGATGAATCGTTTACCCACAGTGCTGGAACTTAACTTGGCGTGAAATCATCAGGTTCTCATGGGTGATGCGCACCTGGAGGTCAAGATCTGAGCTTGTTCCATGTTGTGTTTGTCAGGATGTCCAACACATGGAATGGGCGAGTGAATTGGATAGTGTTTTTATTCTTGTCGGTTGTAATGATGTGCAATGAACTGATGCTATGCAAAGAGCTCTTTACAGTTGTTTGGAACTTTCTTCTGGTTTATAGGAGGTTTTTGGACATTTGAGAGGAGAAAGCTTTTTCTGAGCTTGTAGTTAGGGTCGTATTACATCCGCTAACTCCTGTTGTTTCCTCGCCAGGGGTTGCCTGACTCAAAATCTGAGTTCACAAGCCATTGTAATAACTTCCCAAGTCTCCAAAGACCATCTGCAAGCAGGAGTCTCATTAGTGTATCCCATGAGAAGCTACAAAAAGATAATGCTTTAGTAGATACAGAGGTGAGAAATGTAAAGAAATCCTTGTTGTTCCGGTGTCTGATGCAGACAGAACCTGGTAGTGCATATTACTCAGATACAAATAAATTCATCTTGGTGTAGGTAAGAAAACCTGGAATTGAAATGGTAGTGCCAGCATACACTCAGAAGAGCTACTGATTAAAAAGCTGTAGGAATCAAAGTCATTGCTAGTGTTTAGTGGGCTTAATAGCACTTTTCTTTGAAGGATTTGGTTTCACCACTGCTTAGCAACAGATATTAGACCACGCAGATTCTGGTTCCGCTCCAGTCTGGGAGTTTGTGTCCTTAGGCACTCCTCGTGCCTTCCTTTCTTGCCACTTTTATTCTCTTGACATCTTCTCTTCATGTCTCAGGTTGTGGGTCTGCCATTGTCTGGTGTTAAGGCATTAGGTGACGTTGAAAGCGGAGAGCAGCCATCTGTAGAAAGTTGTTTTGGGTTGATTTGGATGGAGGATGCTATCTGTGTAAGACAGCTGAATACATACCTGGTACTCTTCCCGTTTTTCCAAGAATTGCTAGTTTTGTAAAGAAATATGGCACATGATATAAAGCCCTGAGACCCACAGATGGGCAGCAGAAGGATGAAATCAAATAAAGAAATGTGATTTGGTGATAGTTCACACGCAGCTACTTCCCATGCAGGAAAAAAGGACTTGCACAGGTATCTTCAAGGGTGAAGACCTACAGTAACTTAGCTACAGAATCACGAGCCACGTCTTGATGGAGTCCCTGACTTGCCTTATACTGCTCAAAAGGTTTCCATGCGACCAAAGAAAATCAAAGTTGTGGTGTTTTCTGACCTTACAGGTCTCTGAACTCCTACAAGAAAGAGATCAGATTAACAAACTCGAGCAGAAACATGAAGATCTATGTACGGATGAAAAGACATACAAGGAACAGAAGGCTAAAGTAGTACTTTTGGAAGAACAGATCAAAAACTTGAGGGATGAACAAGAACTGCTCTGGTAAACCTTAACAAGGCCTATGGTATTTTCTGCTCCTTATCTTTGCTGCCTAATTTTTTCAGTCTTTCAAAAAATTTCCATAATGCTGCTTGTGGCAAAAACGGGCACAGCAGCTTTGTGTCGTCTTTATTGTGTAATCGGCTCTCCGTAGAGATTTTGGTGAATAAGCGTTTCCCTTAGTGACATCGTGATCAGTCAGGAGTAAACTTGTTATTTTTTCTGCAGCTATTCCGGATTCTGAATGGCATAAGTGAGAGCTGTCCTTAGGGAAGAGGCTGTTACTCTTGGAGTGAGGTAGTATTGGACCAATATGGTCCCAAAGAGCTCCCATAGACTAGGGCTCCTTGGGGCTAACCACTGCCAGCAGCTGATGATCTACATCCTGCTGTGGATTTCAGTTGTCCTTGGAGAGCAGGTGTCAGGGTTGTTACAGGTCCCTTGACCCCCCCTTTTTCAGTAGAGCAATACAATATGGAGCTGGAGCATCCATGCTTAGGCTCTCAGTAGTAAGTTGTCGTCGTTTAGCCCCAGGTGGCACCTAAGCACCATGGAGCTGCCTGCTCACACCTCTGCCTGGTGAGGTGGAGAGGAGAAAATTGTAACAAAGGGCCCGAGGGTCGAGACAAGAATAGGGAAGGATCACCCACCGACCACGGCCCCGGGTAAAACGGCCTCAGCCTGGGGACAAATCAATTTAATTTGTTATCAAATTAAAAGGGTGAGGACTCCTCACACCCTTCCCCTGCTCCAGCATGGGGTCCCTTCCCACGGGAGACAGTTCTCCACAAACTTCTCCGATGTGAGTCCTTCCCGCAGGATGCAATCCTTACCCATCAGACTGCCCCAGCACAGGCTTTCCCATGGAGTCACGGCTTCTTAGTGAGCAGCCACCCGCTTCGGTGTGGAGTCCCTTCCCACGAGACTGCAGATGCATCTCTGCTCCACCGTGTCTCTCATGGGTGACGGGGGGAGCCGCTGGCCATCTCCCCAGGGGTTGCAGAGGAATCTCAGCTCCGGCACACCTCCTCCCACTCCAGCTTCACTGTCCTTGGTGTCTGTGTGGCCGTTTCTCTCAGGTCTCAGTCCTCTCTCCGCTGCAGCCATGCTGGGCCCGACCGGCCCAAAGGACCTCGGCAGTCCTGGCAGGATGAACTCTGTCCACTGCTGCCTCAGGAGCGAGGCAGTTCAGAGCTCTCCAAGCTGCACCGCTGCAGCCATCTCCAGTTGAGTGGTAGTGGCTCACCCACGTCCCTCCTCTCTTCACAGCAGGTCCTGCATGGCTTAGGTCGCTTTGTCCTCTTCTTAAATAAGTTAGTTGGACAGAGACATGTCCAACTGGTTTTGGAGCTGAGGAAGCTTCTAGCATCTCCTTACAGGGGCTATCTCTGCAGCCCCTCCCCTGCTACCAGAACCCCAGCACATGAGTAAAAGCTTGGATTAAATCCAGTCTAGTTACAGTCAGCTCAGTTACCTGGATAACTGAGGTTGGGATAAGTGAGACAGCTTGATCGGGAGACCCGAGCTTGTACTTCCGTACAGCGGGGCGTTGTGCGAGCGCGTCCGTGCTGCTTGTGAGCGCAGACTGGCTCACGTGGCCCCGTGCGAGTGTTTCCTCAGCCCACAGTTCACCTACTTGTGAACAACTGAGAGCTGAACCTCTGGACACACATTTTTTTGGTGGGGCAGTGTCCAGGGAAGACTGACCCTTGCCCAGAGCTGCTAGACCCAGGTTTAAATGCCCTTTGGAGCCTTCCGAAACACTCGAGCGTTGCCTTGAGAGTTTCACTGGACTCTTGTATCCCAAGTTTTTCCCCTTCAGAGGGTGGTTTCCCTGGGATGTGTATAGTTACCTCTCTCCTTTACTGTTTCTCCTTCAAGTTCTCAATTACTAGAAAGCAACAAGAAGAGGGAGGAGCTCGAAAAGCAGCTAAAAGAGAGCAGTGAAGAAAAACGGTTGTTACTGGAAGAAGTTGCCCAGCTGCAGCGAGATATCCTGAGCGCCCGGGAGCGGGGCGGCAGCGCGCTTGAAGAGACCTTGAGGATGAATCAAGGCACGGCGCGGGGAGAGAGCAGGGTTCTCGTGGCGCAGAGCTCCGCAGGCAGTTTAGATGGGAGCCTTAAACAGGTATGGGCAGCTTTGCCATCTGCGCCGTCCTTTTTTTTTCACTAATTCAGTGGCAAAACCGAATTAAAGTGCGCTGGAAGCCAGTCCCGTGGTGTTAGCATGCAGGAGGGAGACGAGGCCGACTGATTTCCTTGGGGAAAAAGCTCGGGAAGTATGAATGTCATCATTTCCTTCCCTTGTGTTTTTGGACGTAGTAGGAGCTTGGATAAACTGAGTGACTCCCTTAGTGCACGTGAAAGAAAGCAGTTGTACAGTCCTTCAGTGGTGTTTTTAACCTCCTTGGAGCTCCTTCCTAACTCCTTTTTGGAGTGTGAGCGACAGAGCTGGCTTGCTATTCCTCCAGCGGTCTTGCTCTTGCTGTAGGCAGAAGCTGTTCCACTTCCCTGCTCTCCTCCTTGCAATTTTCTCCTCTTGAACTCATCCCACAACTGCAGCCCCGCCGTGGCAGCTGGGTTTTGCTGCAGCCCTGTGCCCGTGTCGCAGATACTGGTCTCCAGTTGCTCTGCCATCTGGCAGCGAGACCCATCTTTACCACTACGTTCAGCTGTGGTTTAAATGCAATTTGTTCCCCTTTCTTACTGTGTGATCTAAAAAAGAAAGGAAAGAGCAGCTAGCCCTGCCAAAAGGGGAAGAAATGATGAAGGGATTCAGGATGAGGGATCTAAGGAGGATTAAGGGTTAAAGGCAAGAGTTTGGAAGAGAGAGAGGACAGGGTGGCCTGTAGGCAGGAGTAGGAGTGGAAAGGAGAGGATCAGAGTGGTGCTGATGCCAAGAAGCAGCAAATCCGTACAGTTAGAGCAGACCAAAGCTTCATACAAGGTGTAGGGGTGATGCTGAAAAGGCTCTTAATAGAAGTGAGTGGGGAAAAAAGCCAGAAAACCAAGCTGATCTCAAATACAAACGATATTGCCAGATCCCGCAGTGCTGGGTCAGGACTTCCCAGCTAGGGAGTTTTTGTGGCTTCACCTGTCTGGCACTAAATGCCAACAGCCACTTGCTCATCCTTCCCCACCTCCAGGGAATGGGGAAACGAAGGGGAAAAGAGAAGGAGACTCATGGGTTGAGATAGGAACAATTTAATAATAATATATAATTGTAATAATTTATATAAACAAGTAATGCATAGCGTAGTTGCTCACCACTCGGTGACCAATGCCTGTCCCATCCCGGCAAGCGATCCCGAAACAGATAAGTCCTGACACCACAGTCCCAGACGAGAGGCCTGAAAAGAGAGAGAGAGGGAGAAAGGAGTCTGAGAGAAGACGAGACTGAGAGAGCCCTCCCAGAAGAGAGATTCCAGCTCCTGGTCAACCCTCATCTATATACTGGGCATGACGTTGCATGAGATGGAATACTCCATTGGCCAATTTGGCCCTCAATCCTAAGTCTAAGTTCAAATCATAAGAGGAGTCGGGGGCCCTTTGTCCCAGCTATGCTCCTCCCAACCTCTTGTGCTCCTGCACACTGGCAAAACATGGGAAGCTGGGAAGTCCTTGATGTGATGTGTCAGCACCAACTACAGCAGCATCAGTGTGCTCTCAACATTCTTCTCATAACAAATCCCATGTTAACCCCAAAGGACAGAACTCTTCTAGCTGCTAAAAAGCACAACTAACTCTGTCCCAGCCGAAAGCAGGACAATATCCACCCCTTATTCCATACCATCCATATCACGCTCAAGTCCCACCTATGTACATGATATCATTCCCTTTGTTGATCAGCCATCCCTCCAAAATGTCTAAGATCATTAGTCCATAACTCTGGGCTCCATCTGTCATGGCAGTCTTCCAGGGCAGGACAGATGATATGGATTTCGCTCCCTTGGTGGAACAGATGACACTGGATGCAGCAGGAGGATGATGGGTAGTCTCTGTTGCATGTGGCATCCATCGTTAGGGCTGGAAGGGACCTTCAAAGGTCATCTAGTCCAACCCCCCTGCAAGGAACAGGGATATCTCCAACTAGATCAGGTTGCTCAGGGCCTCAATGTGGCATCCAGAGCTCACAGCTGATGTAT